CAAAGACGAAAGGTTGGGGAGTCTGACTCAGGAGCAAGGGTGGGGCTGTGGAATCTGATTTTTTTTTTTTAACCCTGTGGCTGTGGGAATTTATTTTATTTCTTTACTTTTGCTTTATTTATTTATTTTTTGCATGACTTGAAATTCTTAAGCTAACATGTTTGGAAACTTCTGCTGCATGGAACTAGCATGTCCTTTGCTGTTGAAGAAGAGGATGGAGGGAAAGCAGACGGAGGTGCTGCCAGGCTCCAGGCTTTTCCTTCTACAGGTGTTTTTCTTGGCTGAAGTCTTGGTGCTGCCCTTGAGGGTCACTGTGTGCCCAGACCACAGCTGGGCAGGGGCGAGAGGGTGATAAGAAGGTCAGCGTGGTCCCTGCACTCCTGGAGTTTACAATCTAATTGGATTGACGAGACGCCTTCAGCAAATCATGAAAAATGCATTCAGAAATTGTGGATAGGGGCATGACCCGAGCCCAGAAGCTCGAGACCAGCCTGGGCAACATGGTGCGAACCCCCATCTCTATTAAAAAAAAAAAAAAGAAAGCTGGGCATGGCGGCACATGTCTGTCGTCCCAGCTGCTCAGAAGGCTGAGGTGGGAGGATCACTTGAGCCCAGGAGGTCAGGACTGCAGTAAGCTGTGATTATACCACCTCACTCCAGCCTTGGCAATAGAACAAGACCCTGTCTCAAAAAAAGACAAAATAAAAAATACTGGGAGGCCGAGGTGGGTGGATACCTAAGGTCAGGAGTTCAAGACCAGCCTGGCCAACATGGTGCAACCCTGACTCTACTAAAAATACAAAAATCATCTGGGTGTAGTGGCAGGCACCTGTAATCCCAGTTACTTGGAAGGCTGTGGGAGGAGATTCGCTTGAACCCAGGAGGCGGAGTTTACAGTGAGCTGAGATCCAACCATTGCATTCCATCCAGTCTAGGTGACACAGCAAGACTTTGTCTCAAAAATAAAATAAAAAATGAAATAATGCAGAAAGGAATAAACAGGAAAGTAAAAATCACCCACGTTTCACCACCTAGAGATAACCGCAGATACATCTTTGGAGGCCGTCTTTCCGTACGGCCTGCTGTGGTTTATTCTGATATAAAAATATACACTGTGTGACTTCATTGTACAGGAACTGTTTCCTGGAAGGCTTTTGAATTCTTTTCCCCTGCCCTGCTATCATGTTTATTTTTGTGTATCCCTCCCTGCCAAAGGCAACTGATGTTGACAGTTTGGAGTATGTCCTTCTACATCTCTTTCAAATATATTTCAGAAAAACACATTTTTTAAATTTACTTATTTTTTTTTACAGAGAACAATATTCATCTCTCTGTCCTGTGATGCAAAGATCATCACCCCAGACCCACTAAATCAAAATCTTTGGGGCTGGGTTCCGTGGCTCATGCCTGTAATCCAAGCATTTTGGGAGGTTAAGATTGGAGGACTGCTGGAGCCCAGGAGTTCGAGACCAGCCCGGGCAACATGGCAAGACGCCGTCTTTAAAATAAAAATAAATTAGGGGAAAAAAAGAAGAAAAAATGCTTTGAGTGTAGACTTAGGAATCCGTATTTCTAACCCCTGGTCCCGGGCACTCTGATGCTGTTAGCGTTGCTCCAGCCAGTGAAAGCTCACATCGCTGCAGGCGGCAGGAGAGGACAGCAGGAGATTCTGACCAGGAAGATCTTGAAGACAGTAGCAGCTTGACAAATGAAGGTTTCCAGGTAGAGAGAGCAGCTTGTACAAAGCCACAGAGGTGAGACCGTTCGAGGTATGTTCTCTGATGGCAAATACAGTGGGTGAGGCCTGGGCATGGAGGGGCTGTGCAAGAAGAGGCTGGAAAGATTCCAACGGAGGAGGGCTTCGAGTGCCAAGCTAAGGCATCCACATTTACTCTTCCGGCAGAGTTTGCGAAATAGTGGCACACATGGTAATTGTAGGTGATACCGTACATGTAGGAAGAACATTCTCTCTTTAGCCCCTTCCAAAGTGCTTACATGGAGGAGAATGGTTTGGTTAGGTGCTAGAGGCTATCTCTCACACCCCTCTGACCGCTGCCTAATTGCCTTTTAACATAGAGAAACCCTCCTTAGGCTTAGGGCCTTCTGGTGAAACAAGAGCAAGTGTGCATGCTTTGTTTCCATGTTTTAATGATTGCTTGCTATTTATGGCAAGGGAAGTATCCTTTTTTTTTTTTTTTGAGACAGTCTCTCGCTCCATCACGCAGGCTGGAGTGCAGTGGTGAGATCTTGGCTTACTGCAGCCTCAACCTCTGCCTCCTGGATTCAAGCAATTCTCATGCCTCAGCCACCCAAAGTAGTTGGGATGACAGGCCAGTGCCACCATGCCTGGCTAATTTTTATATTTTTAGTAGAGACAGGGTCTCACCATGTTGGTCGAGCTAGTCTTGAACCTCTAATCTCAAGTGATACTCCTGCCTGGCCTCTCAAAGTGCTGGGATTATAGGCATGAGCCACTGCGCCTGACCAGGACACTGGTTTTCTGTGTATTAAAATTACATAAAGCTTTTCTTGTTAAAATAAGTTTAATTTTATTTTTATTATTTTTTTCTTTTCCCCCCTAATTTTTAAAAAGTGCATTGACAGGAGCAAAACCGCTAGGTAAATAATGCGACAGGCAGTGGTGCTCAGATGTGGCAAATAACCTGCAGGGGACACCAGATTCTTGGCTCTGGGAAATGCAGACCCAGGTCCTTTTGTCTCTAGAGCTCACTGGCAGCGGGGAGGTAATTCAGGTAGAAGGGCCAGCATCAAGGGGGGTTGGCTAATATTTAACAACCGGCTCTCTGAGAAAGCAAAATAAAATACACACACACCAAATCTGACTGACTGTTTCCATGATGTGAATACCCCCAGCTGGGCCGAGTTGACCTCACGGAACAGAGTGGACAGTGATGGCTGCAGCTGTCTCTCTTGGGAGCTTCAACACAGTGGGGGGTGACAAAAGTGGGCAGGGGGTAGGGGCAGGTGGTGGGAGTGGCAAGAAGCCCCTCTACGCCGGAGAAGGGAATGAAGAGGTCAGCCTGGCCAGAGCGTGGGGTTGAGCTGTCCACGCCCTGAATGCCAGGGTGAGGGCTAAAGGGTCAAATGGAATCAGTGACTTCATATGGAGAAGTTTTTACAAGAGAAGAGAACTCAGTTTGGCCAAGGGGCGTGGGGTCGTCATGCTAGTGATCACATAACAGTGATGGTTCAGTCATGTGGAAGGCTTTCAGGGAGCTGGGCACTGTTCAGTTTTTATTTTTTGATTTTTTGAGGTAGGGTCTTGCTCTGTCGCCCAGGCTGGAGTGCAGTGGCTCGATCTCGGCTCACTGCAACCTCCATCTTTCAGGTTCAAGTGATTTTCTGCCTCAGCCTCCTGAGTAGTTGGGATTACAGGCATGCAGGGCTAATTTTTGTATTTTTTGTAGAGATGTTTTGCCATGTTGGCCAGGCTGGTCTCAAACTCCTGACCTCAAATGACCCGCCTGCCTTGGCCTCCCAAAGTGCTGTGATTGTGGGTGTGAGCCACAGCACCTGGCCGCTTGCAGGGTGTTGGGCACTGTGGATATTACTTTATTCATTCTCCTAACCCAAGAGAAGGGGGCACAGAGAAGTTAAGCAAGTTTATCATGTGGCTGGTAAATGGCAGAGCTAGGCTCCAACCCAGGCATTGTGCTCCAGCCCCTCGGAACCTTAGTCTCTTCACCTGCGAAATCACGGAGGTGACGAGGCCAGTGAGCAGAGGGTTGGAGTTACCCAGAACAAGAACATCAAAAGTAATAATAACGAATATTTAGTCAAGGTTTAGATTCTGGCATCATGGAGATCCAAGTTCAAATCTTAAATCTGCCTTAGCCGATGAGGTTCCTTATCCTGTTAATGCCTTGGTTTCCTTATCTGTAAAATAGGAATATCCTGAAGCTGTTAGATATTAAATGAGAAAATTGCATCTGTCCATTAAGTTGAAAAGGTAGTAGGGTGAGAAGGAGAACCGTCCGTTTGAATGCAGGAGGGCCTTGGGCATTGTCTGGACTGAAGGACAAAGGTCAGCTGAATTGCAAAAGAGCTCTGAGACTGGCTGAAGGGACACTCGTCTTGTGCTGGCTGCTAAGACCAAGCGGGAAGCCTGTGCCTTACCCGAATCGTAGTCTGGCAAACAGCTGCTCACCCAGTAGAAGAGAACTGCGATAAAACTCACAGCCACCATTTATTCACTATCTACTGTGTCCCAGGACACAGCAGAATATTTTAGAGAATTTGCAAAGGAAACACAGCGACACCTTCTGGACGCCTTGCAAACTACCAGCTCAGGGGAAAAGTTTGAATGTTCGATGGAAGGAACTTCCTTTCCACAATGCCAAGATTTTTGTGAAGCCGAGTGCATGGCAGTTGTGATAAAAAGCAAGCGCCATGCAAAAGTTATTGTTACACAATAACAGGAAAGGAGGGTGGTAGCGTCCAATCTAATTTCAAGGTTTGAGCAGCTGTGGACAGCGCAGCAGGCACACGCATCCCGTTAGTGCATCTTTACAGGTAGTTAAGAATGAGCGAAAATATTGCTTTTTCTTTTAATTTATGTGCATTATTTTTTTCAAGCAGCTAATAAGTTGATAGGACATACTTAGTAGTTGTCTTGGCCCACCTACTGCACTTACTAAACATACCTGTTTAATTTTTAATTTTCAATTTTTTTTGAGACGGAGTCTTGCTCTATCGCCCAGGCTGGAGCACAGTGGTGGGAGCATGGCTCACTGCAACCTCCACCTCCCAGGTTAGAGCAATTCTCCTGCATCAGCCTCCCAAGTAGCTGGGATTATAGGTGCCCACCACCATGCCCAGATAATTTTTGCATTTTTAGTAGAGACAGGTTTTCACCATGTTGGCCAGGCTGGTCTTGAACTCCTGACTGCAGTGATCTGCCCACTTTGGCCTCCCAAAGTGCTGGGATTACAGGCGTGAGACATCATGCCCAGCCACTATTCATTTTTTTTCCTCAGTGATTCCCTAGTCTGTTGCCTTAACCACTCAGCCCTGACTACAGCTCTTTTTTGCAGTGATTCTCAAGAATGCAAATGCCACTCCTGACCTTGAGTTAATTCAGCTTTGGCTCCTGAGTGTGGGGGAAGGGCAGGCTGGGGCTGGAACTTTCTGCTTGTGTACCTCTCTCCTTAGACTCTCTGGAGGCTCCTCCCCAAACTCTGTCATTCCCTCTCCCACCAAATCCACCTGCTGTCCCAGACTCAAATGCTCAGCCACCTAGCTGCCTGAGGACCCAGCAGTTCATGAGTTTACATGCTGGGGACAGGAGTCAGGCCCCACCCTTCTTGCTCCCTACGGCTCCCCGGAAAGGGAAAGTCAGCAAGGGGCGGCTGCAGGCAGCAAGGAGAGTAAGCAGGAGAGCCTCAAAGCCACGAAGGAACAGCACACAGCCTCTTCCCTGTCCTTTAGCCTGTACTTGAGAATGCTGTCACCAGCAGTAAGTGGCCCAATCTCACAGCAACTTGAATGGGGGTTTACAAAAATATGCACTTGGCCGGGTGTGGTGGCTCATGCCTGTAAATCCCAGCACTTTAGGAGGTTGAGGAGGGCAGATCACCTGAGGTCAGGAGTTCGAGACCAGCCTGGCCAACATGGTGAAACCCCGTCTCTACTAAAAACACAAAATTAGCTGGGTGTGGTGGCATGCGCCTGTAGTCCCAGCTACTCAGGAGGCTGAGGTAGGAGGATTTCTTGAACCCAGGAGGCAGAGGTTGCAGTGAGCCAAGATCACACCACTGCACTCTAGCCTGGGCAATAAAGAGAGACTGTCTCAAAAATAAAAATAAAAAATAAGTGCACTGGATGAAAGAGGGTACCACTCTGCTTACAGCAAGGGCTGCCAACTTGTCCTGCATAGCCAGCCTGCCTGGCTCAGGGGGACTTAACGCCCAGCTCTGAGGGACTCTGAGCAGTCATTTAACCTCTCTGAGCCTCTCTTTCCTCCCTGGAGAAGGGGAATTATAATGGTTCCTCATTCATAGAGTTGTTCTTAGAACGAAATACTTTACCGGCTATATGAGTAATATTTTGGGAGGCTGAGGTGGGAGGATTGCTTGAGCCCAGGGGTTCGAGACCAGCCTGGACAACATGGCAAAACCTCGTCTCTACAAAAAACACAAAAATTAGCCAGCCATGGTGGCGCATGCTTGTAGTCCCAGCTACTGCAGAGGCTGAGGTGGGAGGATCACGGGAGCCCCAGAGGTATAGGTTGCAGTTTGCCAAGATTGTGCCACTGTACTCCAGCCTGGGCAACAGAAGGAGACCCTGTCTCAAAAAACAAACAAACAAAAAAGATAAATGAATGAATGAATGAGCAAGCTGGGCATGATGGTGCATACCTGTAGTCCCAGCTACTTGGGATGCTGAGGTAGGAGGATCACTTGAGGCCAGGAGTTCTTTAATTTTTAAAATAAAAAGTTATTTGTATAAATAAAATTTTAATTTAAACCAAATTATTTTAAATGAAATATAACATTATATTAACATATATATAATATAATTTTAATTAAATCTAATTTTAAATTATTCTAAATGTGAACTTTTTTTTTGAGACAGTCTCACTCTATTGCCCAGCTGGAGTGCAGTGGTGCAATCTTAGCTCACTGCAACCTCCAGCTCCTGGGTCCAAGTAATTATCTACCTCAGCCTCCCGAGTAGCTGGGATTACAGGTGCTCGCCACCACGCCTGGCTAATTTTTGTATTTTTAGTAGAGATGGGGTTTCACCATCTTGGCCAGTCTTGAACTCCTGACTTCATGATCTACCCACCTCAGCCTCCCAAAGTGCTGGGATTACAGGCGTGAGCCACTGTGCCCAGCCAAAAGTTAACTTTTGCATTTTTCTTTTCTTTTTTTTTTTTTTGAGATGGTGTCTTGCTGTGTTGCCCAGGATGGAGTGCAGTGGTGTGATCTTGGCTCACTGCAACCTCTGCCTCTCAGGTTCAAGTGATTCTCCTGCCTCAGCCTTCTGAGGCCAATTTTTTATTTTTAGGAGAGACGGGGTTTCACCATTTGATCAGGCTGGTCTCGAACTCCTGACCTCCCACCTGATCCACCCACCTAAGCCTCCCAAAAGTGCTGGGATCACAGGTGTGAGCCACTGTGTCCAGTTTAAATTTCCTTAATTTAAAAATTTAACTCAATATATTTTTAAAAAATTATCATTTCAACAAGTGACATAAACCATCTTTCAAATGCTTGGTAGCCACATCTGGCTGGTGGTGAGGGCAGGGCCTGTCTATTTTGTTTATCACAGATTATTTTACATTAGTTAAAAAATACTTTTTAAGACTGGGCATGATGGCTCATGCCTACATAATTCCAGCACTTTGGGAGGCTGAGGTGGGAGGATCTCTTGAGTCCAGGAGTTTGAGACCACCCTGGGAAACACAGTGAAACTCTGTTTCTACCAAACGCACAAAAAAAAAAAAAAAAAAAATGAGCTGGATGTGGTCGCGAACACCAAGTAGTCCCAGCTACTTGGAAGGCTGAGGTGGGAGGATGATTTGAGCCCAGGAGGCAGAGGTTGTAGTGAGCTGAGATCATGCCATTGCATTCTAGCCTGGGCAACAGAGCCAGATCCTGTCTCAAAAAATAAAAATAAATAAAAATGAAAAAAATAAAAATAAAAACAAATCTCAGAAAGCACACATGAAATCATAGGATAAGTATATCTCAATAAAATGAAAACAATTTTTGTATTGATTTACATACTATCGAACTCGCCCTTTTAAAACGTGCAATTCAGAGGGTTTTAGTACAGAGTTGTGAGATATCACCACAATCCATTACAGAACATTTCCATCATCCTAGAGAAGCCGCAGCGCCCACGGAGCAGCCGGCCCCATTCTGTCTCCCACTCAGGCTCTGACAACCACGAATCTCCTTTCTGTCTATCTGGAGTTGCCTGTTCTGGACTTTTCATATAAATGGACCCAGACGCGATGTGGTCTTTAGTGACTGCTTTTTCACTTAGTATCATGTTTTCAAGGCTCGTGCCTTGGCATATATGGGAACGCCATTCCTTTATATGACCAAAGAATATGCCATTGCATCGGCTGGACACAGTGGCTCATGCCTGTAATCTCAGCACTTTGGGGGGCTTAGGGTAGGCACATCACCTAAGGTGAGGAGCTCGAGACCAGCCTGGCCAACATGGTAAAACCCCATCTCTACCAAAAATACAAAAATTAGCTGGGCTTGGTGGTACACACCTGTAGTTCCAGATACTTGGGAGGCTGAGGCAGGAGAATCGCTTGAACCTGGGAAGCGAAGGTTGCAGTGAGCCGAGATTACACCACTGCATTCCAGCCTGGGCAACGGAGTGGGACTCCATCTCAAACAACAAGGAAACAGCAACAATCTTTCTCTATTGCAGTTGAAAAATAAAAAAAAAAGATGTATGTATTCATACGCGTGTCTACACCATTGCACGGTTGTGCCATGTTTCATTCATTCATCAGGTGATGAACATTTATGCTTTTTCCATCTTTCGGCTCTTGTGAATGAAGCTGCTATGAGCATTCATGCAGAAGTTTTTGTGTAGACATCTGTTTTAAGTTCTTTGGGGTCTTGCATTAATTTTAGTTTTTAAAATATAGTGCATAAAAATGTTATTTACCTTGATGATTGGGTTTTTTGGCACTCCTTTAAAATTTGCACCTGGGGCTGCCAGGCATGGTGGCTCATGTGTGTAATGCTAGCACTTTGGGAGGCTGAGGTGGGTGGATGGTTTGAGCCCAGGAGTTTGAGACCAATGTAGGCAGCATAGCAAAACCGCATGTCCAGAAAAAATAGACACACAAGGCCAGGCACGGTGGCTCACACCTGTAATCCCAGCACTTTGGGAGGCCGAGGCAGGCGAATCACTTGAGGTCAGGAATTTGAGACCAGCCTGCCCAACATGGTGAAACTCCATTTCTGTGAAGAATACAAAAAAATTAGCTGAGTGTGGTGGCATGTGCCTGTAATCTCAGCTACTTGGGAGGCTGAGGCAGGAGAATCACGAACCTAGGAGGCAGAGGTTGCAGTGAGCCAAGATCGCTCCACTGCACTCCAAACCTGAGTGACAGAGCGAGACTCCATCTGAAACACACACCCCAAAATACACACAACATACACACAAAATAAGCAGGGCGTGATGGTGTGTGCCTGCAGCGCCAGCTACTTGGGTACTTGGGTGATGGAGGCAGGAGGATCACCTAAACCCAGGAAGTCAAGGCTGCAGTTAGCCATGATCGAGCCACTGCACTCCAGCCTGGGTGACCGAGTGAGAACCTGGCTCAAAAAATACAAAATAAATTTGCACCCAGGGCAAGTGCCACACTCGCCTCAACTCAGTCTCACCTTGCAAGTCTTGTTCCTTGCTGGCTGTGTGGCCTTGGACACGTTGCTTACCTCTTAGAGCCTCAATTTCCTCCCCTATAAAACGGGGATAATCCTGGTACCTACTCAGAGTTGGTAGCAGAATGCAATGAAGTGAAGTTGTGCTTACAGACCCCCACCCTGTTCTCAGCACATGGTAGTCAACATATTTTCCTACAGGGAGGCCTGGTGTCAGGCTGGGAGTGGGGCGGAAGGGTCCCAAAATGGCCGTGCGCTTCCTCTGCCCTTGAGAAGAGCTAGCCCAGCTGTCTGTCTGGAGTTCCCTGCTGCAGCTGCTTCCGTAAGCAGCAAGCATTTTTTTTTTTTTTTTTTTGAGATGGAGTTTTGCTCTCGTTGCCCAGGCTGGAGTGCAATGGCATGATCTCAGCTCACTGCAACCTCCGCTTCCTGGGTTCAAGCGATTCTCCTGCTTCAGCCTCCTGAGTAGCTGGGATCACAGGTGTGTGCCACCACGCCTGACTAATTTTTTATTTTTAGTATGTTGCCCAGGCTGGTCTCAAACTACCAACCTCAGGTGATCCGCTCACCTCAGCCTCCCTAAGCACTGGGATTACAGGCATGCGCCCCCCGCGCCTGGCCAGCAGCAAGCGTTTTTTGCTCTCCTGTCTCAGCCTGATGCCCTGACAAGGTTCTTTTGGGGGTGGGACCCAATGCTGCTCACCTGATGGCCTCCCCCGCTCCCAGCACCTTCCATCCCAGCTGCTCAGGGCCCCTCATCTGCGCTGCCCCTGCCCTCCCCTCTGCCCACTCCCATGGAAGGCCATAGCTCCCTGCCCCTCTCTGCTGCCATGAGGCCTGCACTTTGCAGGGCTGAAGTCCAAAGTTCAGTCCCTTCGCTAAGCACACGGATAAATATGAACCTTGGAGAATTTCCCCAGCTCCAATGTAAACAGAGCAGGCAGGGGCCCTGATTCACTGGCCGCTGGGGCCAGGGTTGGGGGTTGGGGGTGCCCACAGGGCTTGGCTAGTGGGGTTTTGGGGGGGCAGTAGGTGCAAGGTGTTTGGTTTGTGTCCACCCGCCGGCAGGCAAACGCAACCCACGCGGTGGGGGAGGCGGCTGGCGTGGTGGACCCAGGCCGCGTGGCCCCGGGGCAGCTGAGCCATGGTCTCTAAACTGAGTCAGCTGCAGACGGAGCTCCTGGCGGCCCTGCTCGAGTCAGGGCTGAGCAAAGAGGCACTGATCCAGGCGCTGGGTGAGCCGGGGCCCTACCTGCTGGCTGGAGATGGCCCCCTGGACAAGGGGGAGGCATGCGGCAGCGGTCGAGGGGAGCTGCCTGAGCTGCCCAATGGGCTGGGAGAGACTCGGGGCTCCGAGGACGAGACGGACGACGATGGGGAAGACTTCACGCCACCCATCCTCAAAGAGCTGGAGAACCTCAGCCCCGAGGAGGCAGCCCACCAGAAAGCCGTGGTGGAGGCCCTTCTGCAGTAAGCAGCCCTTCCCCGTCCCAGCGCCCGGGACAGCCCAGAGGGGCCCCCTCAGCTCCTAGGTAGCCCCGCTTCTGAGTCGAGTCCCCACGAGCTTCAGCTTTGAGTCTAGTTGCCAGCAAGGGGGACAGGGGCTCTGAGAGCCGGGGTCCTCGCTTGGATGTTTGAGCCTCCAGCCCTGAGCTGCTCCTCTCCAGAGTCCCACAACCCATGAGCCAAGACTTCAGCCCAGTCCTTGGGAAGGGGGGACATTTCCCGAGGGTCCAAGAAGGGAGAAAAGGTGGGTGAATTCCCATTTCAAATGCCTGGATGACCGGGGGGTGGTGGAAATTTTTAGCCACTATGATCATTTGTACTCCCCAGACCCTCACTTCTGCCCTGATTCCTCAGGGGGTGGGTAGGCTCTGGGGGCTAGGGAGCACGTCTGGAGAGCACGGCCGGGGAGCATGACCGGGGAGGAGAGCCGGGGAGGAGGGCTCGAAGCCGGGGTTTTGGGGGTTCCCCTGGCTTCCCAAGGACTCACGCATTCAGCCAGAGAAGCCCAGATCCTTCTTACCTGAGGCAGGCAGAGCCTCGAGGTGGGAGCTGGTCCCTTTCCCTGCGCGGCCGCAGGCACCCCACCTCACCAGCAGGCGCCATTAGAGGCTCCCCGTTCCACATCCCATCTGCTGGTGGACTCCCCGTCTCCCGAAGAACTGGGTGGGTCCTGAGCTCGATGCCGCCCCTCTCCTCAGCAGAGCTGACCTAGTTACTAATTACCCACATGCTTTATTATTTCTCTTTTGTTTTATAAATTTATAAATGGCGAAAGGCTCTGATAAGGTCTGTGATCATTAACTTGTAGGAATGGTGGCCTGGAGAGATCTGGGCCAACCCACCTCCCACCTAATGGGGGGGGTGGGGGTGTGGGAGAAGGAAGGGTGGCCTGGGGGCTGCAGGGGCTCCCTGACCTCCACCCTAAAGTGCCTGCTTGGGGAGGTTCACTACTTCCTGGGCGCTGTGCTGAGGTTTCACGGGAATGATTTCCCTTCTTGTTGAGAGGAGCCCTGGGCAGAAGCTACTGACGGCGCCGCTTCACAAATTGGAAACGGGCTCAGAGCGAGGACGGAGCTTGACTAAGTTCACCCAACTGAGGGCCCACACCTACTCTGTTTGGTGCTGGCAATTGCTACCGGGGACAGAGGCCTGCAGGAGGTGGGCAGGGAGTCAGAGACAGAGTAGCCCCAAAGATGCTCGAAAGGGGCCCATCTCTTTTCTGTCCAAGGTCCTGATCCCAACTGGGGTGGGGGAGGGCTGGTAGATTCCTGCCTTCCCAGAGGCCTCAGGGAGCCTCCGGAGGGCCCCGGGACAGGGGGCAGGGGAGCAGCCAGGGCCCCCTGACTTGGCAGGAAGAGGAGGGCAAAGGACTCCGGAGCTGCAGGGGAGGGGCAAAGAGTAGGCATCCCAGACCCAGGGCGAAGGCAACCCGGACGGGGTGGGGCTGGGCCTGACCTGCACAGGGCCCCAGATGGGACTGGGGGCTTTGGGGTGAGGGGAGGGGAGGGGGATGCTTTCTTACCTGGCTGAGTGAGCGCTCTCGGTCAGCAGCCGCCTTTGGCGGGGGATGGTGGGGTTGGGGGAGGCTCGATCCACAGCATTTGAGGGGAAAGCAGAGGTCAAAGTGCTTCCTAGGGACCAGTAGAGACCTGGAAGCTGAGGCAGATAGGGTAGAGAGAAAGAGAGGCCACCGGGGGAGATGGAGAGAGCAGCTGGGAGGAGCAGAACTGAGGAGCCGGGGGATGGGGGCTCAGACCCAGCTGGGAGAAGGGGCACGGGGAGAATGAGGCACCCCAAGCTTGCAAGGAGGCTGGAGTGCTTCCCGCTGCCCCGATTGGGTTTTCTTTAATGCTAACAGCATGCTATTTACTTTCCATTTAAATTTGAGATGTTGCTATAAATTATCAACCAGCTCCTTGTTCCTGCGGAGTTTATAACTAACTACCTGGGTTACTTATTGTTCAGGTAACAAAAGGGATCAGAAAACACCCTGAGTGAAAAAAAAGTGGGGCCTCCAGCCTCAGGGTTGGGGAAGGGGCCAGGGAGAGAGGGGCGGGGGACCCCTGCTGAAGGGCCAGGCCATCGGGGAGGTTAAGGCTGGGAAGATGGTGCAGAAGCAGAATGTCTATAGTAGAAGCTGTTTCCTGGGAGAAGTCCGTGTCTGGGAAGAAGCCTGGGTGGGTCCTGGGTGCCAGGCCTCCCTGGGGTACCCCATGTTTGTGGCTACAGCAGGAACCTGAGCTCGTTCTTCAGATCTCCCCCTTAGTTCCCTGTGTGACCTTGGGCAAGTCTGTTCCTCTCCTTCTGCCCTCAGTTTTCCTCGCTGGCCAAGGAATAAAATCTAAACTCCCTGCCTTGGTTTCATTCCCCTCCCTCCACCCACCAAATTCCCTGTTCTCTGCCCAGGTCTTTCTCTTCCTCACTTACTTTGCTGCAGTCATTGTGGCTTTGCTGTTCCTCAGTACCCCAAGCTGATTCCCACCCCAGGGCCTTTGCATGTGCTCTTCCTCCAGCTTGGAACCTCTTTCCAGATCTTCACATGGCCGGTTCCTTCTCCTTCAGCTCCCTGGTTGCTCCATCCTAAAGGGGCCCCGCCTCCCGTCACTCTCTTCCACTGCTGTCATTTTCTTTCTCCTGCTCCCTGTCATGACTTGTTATCATCTGGTTTATCTGTTTTCTATCTCCTACCGTGAAAATAGAAGCTCTTCAAGGGCAAGGCCTGTGTTACCTTACTCGCCATGTGTACCCTCCATCCAGCCCACTGGCTGGTGCACCACAGGAGTGAATGAGTGACCAGGATTCTCTGAGGACATCCGCTGCCCTGTTAGCCAGGGCTCAGCAGCCTGAGACGTGGCCAAGGGAGAAGCTGGGACCCTGGGTTCCTTCCTGGGTGTCCTCCCAGGTCCTTTCTGTCTTTGATCAGCTCAAACTCCAACCTGTTTTTTTTTTTTTTTTTGAGATGGAGTTCCCCTCTTGTCACCCAGGCTGGAGTGCAATGGTGCAATCTCGGCTCACTTCAACCTCTACCTCCCAGGTTCAAGCGATTCTCCTGCCTCAACCTCCCAAGTAGCTTGGATTACAGGCGCGTCCACCATGCCTGGCTGATTTTTTTGTATTTTAGTATAGACGGGGTTTCACTATGTTGGCCAGGCTGGTCTTGAACTCCCGACCTCAGTTGATCCACCCGCCTTGGACTCCCAAAGTGCTGAGATTACAGGTGTGAGCCACGACACCCGGCCTTCAAACCGCAACCTTGAAGCTCTCTGATCCTGCCCATCAGGCAGCACCCGGGCACCGAGACCCAGGAAGACAGTAGCCAAGGGAAGACAGAGGATCTGATGTCCCTGACAAAAGCGAGCCCGCCTGCATCCTAATCCCAGCTCTGCCCTTTCTAGCTTGGGCAGGTGATTTTATTTTTCTGAGCCTCAGTTTTGTCTGCAGGGTAGAGGTGACAATAAGCCTTGTCCACAAGGTTAAATGGCATGGCACTTGTAGAGTACACATGTAGTAAGTGTGATATACAGCACTTATTATCAGTGATCCCATTTTACAGATGAGCAAATTAAGGTTCAGAGAGGCAGTACCTTACCCAATGAAACTCTTCCAAAGGACTGAAGGAAGGCCAGGACTTGGTCCCAGGTCCTCCTACCTCAGGCTCCATACAGCAACCTTGAGTCCCCAGGCATTCCTGCTATTCAACTTGACCATCAACTCACTTCCATGCAGTGCTTCGGCCGTCACCAACAGGGAGGCCCTTAGAGATGCCCTAAGCGCACTTCTTCCTCCCGGCCATCTCTGAAGTCTGAAATATTATTAGCCCCGTTTCACAGATGAGGAAACTGAGGCACATGGAGGTTAAGCAAAGAATCAAGGCCAGCTTTAAAGGCCCTGCACTGAGAAGTCAGCCCCCTCTCCAGATGTGGAGATGAACGCCACAACCTTGAATGCCCTGAAACCCAAGGGGCCAGAGGGCCAAAGGCTCAAAGCCTTGGATATCTGATCGACCCTGGAATGGGCAGGAGGAAAGAGGAAGATGTGGGTGGGTCTTCACCTCTCCTGGACTCTGCTGTGTGAGGCCGAGGGTCTCCAGGGCTGTGTTAAGATGATGATGACAATATTGTTCTGCGAGTTCAGCACGTGCTGTGCACCAGGCCCTGCCCTAAGTTCGGCCTTCCCATGTGCAGCTCATTTAGTTTTCCCAGTAGCAGTGAGAGGTAGGGGTGTGTTTCCTCCACGGTGCAGGGCAGAGGTGGGTCATGTAAGAGTGCATGTGGCTAGGTCGCAGTGATGGGACTGGAACCCACCGTGGTTTGACTCTCACACCCCTTAGAGTCAAAGCAGGAGATGCCTGGAGACTTGGCCTCTTAGCTCTTTTTTTTTTTTTCAGATGGAGTCTCACTCTGTCACTGGAGCTGGAGTATAGTGGCATAATCTTGGCTCATTGCAACCTCCACCTCCCAGGTTCAAGTGATCCTCCTGCCTCAGTCTCCTGCGTAGCTGGGACCATGGGCATGTGACACCATGCCCAGCTAATTTTTGTATTTTTAGTAGAGATGGGGTTTCACCATGTTGGCCAGGCTGGTCTCCAACTCCTGACCTGATATGATCCACCTGCCTTGGCCCCCCCAAGTGCTGGGATTACAGGCGTGAGCCACCGTGCCTGGTCTTGGCCTCTTAGTTCTGAGCCAGGACAGCTGAAGAAGCTGCCCTCAAAAAGAGTCAGGCCCTTGGAGACTGTGTGTGTGTGTGTGTGTGTGTGTGTAAGAGACACACAGAAGAGAGAGAGTGATAGAAAGAAGGTGGGGAGTCAGGGGAGAGAGAGAGAGACATTGATTTAGTAGGTTCTAGAAAAAAGTGGCACAGGTGGCTTCTCCCAGGAAAGGGACAGATGAGCCCTCTTGGCTCTCTGTCCTAACTGGCATTGAAAGTTCACTTTTTTGTTGTGGATTTGTTGCCCAACTCTACAGGGAACTGTTTAAAAGTAGAACATTCATAGAAGCTCATTTTAACAGCTGGCTTTCCATTTTCACATCCAAAAGCCTGTCCTCTCTTTCTAAGGATTGCATGCGTATTTGTGCAGGGTGACTGGCCTTTGTTTTATTTTCAAGTTCAGCTTAAATTTGATCTGGTTTGGGGGCGGGGGAGGGGGAGAGAAAGAGAGAGAGAGAGAGAGTGAAACAGACGGACGGGGGCAGATAGTAAATCTTTGGTTTGAGCCCAGGAGAGGTTCTGGTTAGAGGAAGACTGACCCTATTCTCTTTGCGGGAGAGAGAAGGGATGGAGGGAGGAGGCACGGGAGGGTAATGGCTGCAGGTGGGGGAGGGGAGGCATCGAGCAGCCTGGCTCCAGGATCAGATAAATGTGTTTGCCATGGAGCACAAGGCTGGACTTTGTACCGCCCTTCCCTCCAAGCTCTGACTGACACCCAGCAAAATGGGGAGGTGCAGGAGAGAGGATCCTAGAGCCCCCGAAAGAAGGAAGAGAGGGGCTGGAGAGAAGCCTGGAGGGTCCTGGCAACATGAAATATTCTTGAGTCCCAACTGGATCCCCTTGGACAAGTGACTGCATCTTTCTGAGCCTCAGTTTTCTCCTCTGTGAAATGGGGATAGAGTAGGGTCTACTTCCTGGGGTTATAAGATTTAAGTGGCCAGCCCTCAGCACTGTGCCTAGCTTACAGTAAATTCTCAAGAAACGTGAGTTTTCAGTTGTTTTTTCTTTTTGAGACAGGGTTTCACCTGTCGCCAAGGCTGGAGTGAGGTGGTGTGATCACAGCTCACTGCAGCCCCGACCTTCCAGGCTCAAGTGATCCTCTTGTCTCAGCCTTCTGAGTAGCTGGGACTACAGGCTTGTACCACTACACCTGGCTAAGTTTTCTACTTTTTTATAGAAACAGAGTCCCATTATGTTGTTCAGGCTGGTCTCAAACTCCTGGTCTCAAGCAATCCTCCCCGCTTAGCCTCCTGAGAAGCTGGGACTACAGGTGTGCACCACCATGCCTGGCAAATTGGTTTTTATTGCTTTTTATAGGGACAGAGTCTCACTAGGTTTTCCAGGCTGGTCTTGAACTACTGGCTCAAGTGATTCTACTACCTTGGCCTTTCAAAGAGCTGGGATTATGAGCATGAGCCACCACACCTGGTTTACAATTCAGTTTTAAATACTATATATGCCAAGGTGGGAGGATTGCTTGAGCCTAGGAGTTTGAGACCAGCCTGGCCAACATAGCAAGACTATCTCCACCAAAAAAAAAAAAAAAGTACAAAATTAGCTGGGCATGGTGGCAGGTGCCTGTGGTCCCAAGTACTTGGGAGTCTGAGGTGGGAGGATCGACTGAGCCCAGGAGTTTGAGGCTACAGTGAGCTATGATCACGCCTCTGCGCTCTAGCCTGGGAGACAGAGCGAGTAGCCTTTAAAAATAAAAATAAATATAAATATCATGTATGTATATATAGTATATTATATATTATGTAATTTAAAAAGTACACAAGGACAACAGAGAAACCGTCCTTCTCACTCCCGTCTCCAGCACCCTGTTCTCCTCTGGAAAGAACCAGAGTCCCCGTTCCTTGCATGCCCTCCGTGTTTTATACATGCAGAAATATGTAGAAATCCTCTTTTACCTCACTTCAAGTTTTTCGAAAATAGCAGCACAGCAGACACACCAGATAAACTCCACTCCATCTGGGCACACACAGAGCTGCCTCAGTGGGGTTTTTCCAGCGGCTGCACTGAACAGATGCACCCTCATTTAGTTAATCAGTATCCTTTCACTGGGCTCCCTGGTAGCTTCTAATCTTTTGCTATGGCAAACAACGTGGCAAAGAATTGCCTTCTACTTGTGCCATCTGTCACCTGTGCCAATATTAGAAGGCT